AGGACAGGTGCATGAATACCTGCTTCAGTTGAGGACTCCTGTGTATGAATTTACAGTATTCAATGACAAACCCCCACAAGATAATGTTCTAGTATACATTGTGTATTGAACTCAATACGATACCAGCGAGAAGAGGAGACAGAAAATAAGTTAATGGGATAAACCTGAATGTTTTGCTGTATGTAGGAAAATTCTATCAGCGACTGACTTTTTCTAATAACATGAGAGTTAAATAAGTTAAACTATATTTATCCTTGTCCTGCAAATGTTTGCATGTTTGGGACCAGGTACGGTTAGCATAACAAACACTAAGTTACCCGCTAGCTAGCTAGCTAGCTAGGTTAGCAAAGTGTTAACTGTCTCCGTTCTCCGGTCAAAGCACGTAGGGAAAAAACGCACTAGCTTTTTTACTAGCATCATTCACATTAAAACTGTAGGACGTTCAGAAAATAAACATTTACTTACCGAAAAAAACTGTATATCATCATCACCATCTCTCCAGTTTGTTAGTGACGAAGAATGAGCCATAATTACTGTGAACCGAAAACTCATTAAAACTAAATAACAAACAGCAAAACTGTCAGTGCTAAATTATTCTTCCACCGACAAATATTGAGGAAAATAATATTCAACAAAACTGATTCAATATGATGAGCACACGACACAAGCTCTCCTCCGGTGACTGATCCTGCGGTGATCGACCTCCCGACCTGCCGCGTCATCTGATCAATCATTGCAGACCAGGTATATCAATCAAACAGCCACGCCCCCCAAAAATACCTGTTTTTATTGCCTAATATCTAATTAATTTGGTGATTATTTTGAGATGGACCACCACAACACTGAACAAGAAGTGTGAATTTAGCCCATCACACCGTAATGAGTTGCGGAAAAAATGTATCGACTGAGTATTTCATGAGAGAAGTTGGTGTTTTTATGAGTGTGTATTGGAACCAGAGTTTTTGGAGCCCGCCCCCAGCGGAACCTCGGTGGTATTGCACATTAAGGCACTTCCGCGTTGGCTTCACTTTTCAGCCCCGGAGACTACGTCCATTTTTATATACAGTCTATGACTACAGCAGGTTGAAACTGTCAGAATACTATCGTTTCCTTTGTTACTATAAGAACACGCCCCTGCTGTTCTCTGATTGGTCAGCTTTCGCTAGAGTGCTCGCTTTCTCTATTTCTATTGGTTGAGTTGCAGCTCAGTCAAAGCAGAAGCTCTCCTTGAAACATCAATGAAAAGGAAACTGGATGTCCAGAGTGGAAAGCCGCGTCAAGCTGGAGAGCTTACGTAAATATTTTTCAGAAGTAAGAAATTTTTCAAAATAAAATGAAAAAAGCAATAAACTGTTGTTCATAATGGGGACATACATTTATGTAATAAAATAGTGTGGTGGTATTAAAAATTAAATTAACGTTTTTGTCATTGTTTTATAAGCAATTGTGTCATTTTAATCTAATTAAAGTTTGCTTATTTTAAACCCACGCCATTCCTGCTTCTAGCTGTTTTGCAGTGTGGTTATGTATTATGTCAGGGCAGATATATATGTGATAATTTCTTCAAACTAATTTAAACTGGTTTTTGTAGGTATGACAAAGCTATTTTTTATTTTAAGGTCAGTTTGTCTGTAGGTAAAACATATGTAATGTGTAACAGTAAAAGGAGTCTTAGAGGCACTGGCTCTAGTGACTTTAATGGCTACTTTTGTGTTATAATTGTGGATATGAATGGGTAGGAGCACACCTTAAATATCTACATCATTTGTGAGCAGTTTATTAAATATAAGTACATTTTGCAACCCCCCCCCCCATGCGACTAAGTGCTGTTAGCCTGGGCAAATGGTGCCTTGTCTTATGACAGTGTGTTCATTTAAAATTTATTTGATATATTGCCATTCACCTATTTAAAAAAAAACAATATCTTTATAAGTCTACACATATATTAATCTTTCTAACTCTTATTCTTTTTACTTTCGTCTCTGATTTTGTAATACTAAATTATTATATTCAGAAATGTGTTTGTTTTAGTTTGTTAGCGAGTTGTGGAAAAAAGTGATTTTATTTTGAAGCTCTGACCGGAAACCACTTCGTTGACTCTGCTAAACTTGACACCAGTGCGGAACAGGACCTCCGAAGAGAAAGCGGAGAGTGAGCCGGGTTGTTGTATTATTTCCCTGCTCCGTCTCCTGTCCGCTTTTGTTTTTTGACAGTTGTCTCAGGAGAAACTCTGCTGCTCGCTTCGTCTGGACCAAGAAAACTTCGCGCCGTCAGACCTAACAATGGAGATAGAGAAGGAAGTGAAGAAGGTAAGCCCCCCCCCTCCTCCTCCTCAGTGTTCTCCGTCGGTGCCTCGGACTGACCGGGGAACGCCCTGAGAAGGTGTGCCGAGCATGGGGCAGGTGGCGAGAAAAGTTACACTATCACAGACACACTTTCTCGAGTAATTTTCTACTTTCCTTTTGAAGGTGTTCCGGAGTCGTGTTTGTGCGTTTTCCTTGATAAACTCCGAATTAAATTATGTAAATACGAAAGGCTTAACCGCTTAACAACAATAGCAAGTTGATAGATATCAACAAACGTTTGTCTCTTGATTGGTTTACGAAGCTAACAGCTCGCCCTTCTTTCTTGACAACGTTAATTCACTTTGAAAATATGTTCCCGTCTGGAAGAACTCACCAACGAACTGCGTATGAAATTTTGCAAATATAGTGTCAACCCGTGTATCAACAAAATTCACAAGCTCTATTACACATTAGCGGTTGTTTAATAAAGACAATATAAGACTTTGCGAAGTTCGGCACAGATATTGTTTCCCCCCCGAAACGGCTCTAGTTTTTACAATAGTGATAGTTTGGTATCAGTGCGCGTTGCTCTGTACCAAAGACAACTCCTCTTCAGGGGGCGAAAATCATCGTAGTAGTAAAACGTAAACCAGTTGTAAAGGTTAATTTGCCCCAGAGTTAATGTTGCAGTTTGAATCTGACACTCGCCGAATTGTAAAGCTACTCTTATTTGAGCTTCTAAGATGTTTAATAATGTATTAATCTTTATGTATCCACGCTTTTAATCAAGATGAAGCAAAATTAATGGAGTTGTTAGTGGAGTTTGGCCATACAAGGGAGGGTCAAAGTTATCTAGTCTGTTTTGTGACTTAAAATGTTAGGATGGTTCTCTCAAAGTGTGGGTCTTGCTGTTTCAGACGTGGATCACATTCACAATACATACACCATGTTGTATTCAATGGATTTGTGCTGAAAACAGTAACATATGTCACCAATAGACCATGTACATTTTGCATCTGCCTGATACTAACATCCCAACGTGCTGAGATGAGGAATTATTGTTGGAATTGTTTAATATACACCTCTATCTCTAACCTACATCTCAATACGAAATCTCAGCAGCAGAAATGTGCATGAAACTTATTTCTTTTTGTGACAAGGGGATTCTTTACTGGTGCTATTTTACCCTACATGCTGTGAACACGCCTGACCCATATCACCTCAGTTTGCTGAGCCATGCGATTCTTGCGTAGACCTGCACATAGCTGGCAGCAGTGGAAGCCAGTGCAAGGCAGATTGCTGCAGGGGTACAACACGGTTAATGTGATGTGACGTGTGTAGCAGTGAAGCTGCAGCATCAATCACTCCACAAGCTGCAACTTTTAATATGTCGTCACTTTGGCTTCAGTCAACCGCACAAGTTTAAAATACAGCCAAAGTGTAGTCTGTATTGGCAGTCTGTGTGCACCAAACATCAGTATGTTTCCAGCGTGCTGACGATTTGTCCCTGCATTCTTCACATGCCGGGACACACTGTCGCAGTTAGATGAAGCATGCATGTGTGGGAGGATTCACTGGCTATTGTGTCTTTTTTGCAAGATCTTATTTGATACTTCTTCTTTTTATTTTTGGCGGTTAGACTTTTGAAATGGAGCAGGATCTCTAGCAGATAGTTTGTTGTCTGCCAATGTGAAGGAATTTACCAGCCTGTAACAGAGCCAAACTGTATGCTGTGGCTGGGGCTATTTTCCTACACTTTCTTTTTCAGGTCCATTTGCCAGTTGCTGGTCAGTGAGACCTGCTGGGGGCAAGATAACAAAGTCAACTCTATTAAAAGCACAGGAAACTCATTTATATACACAGTAAGCTGCCGCTGGAAAGCGGTTCTTAGCAGCTGTGTGACCCAGACAGCCCCAGTCTGACATCTGCTTTTAATCCCTGGAGGAGATAAGTCTGGCTGCTGGAGGCTGCAGGTCTCTGAGAGCGCCTCAGTCAGCGAGAGGTGCTGTAATTAATGTCAAACAAGCAGCCTGTGTATTTAGGTAATATTACGCTCAATTAAGCTCATATGATCATCCAAAAAGGGATCAGAGGTAATAAGTAGTGACTGAGAGCTCACTGTGTACAGGCTGGGAAATCATCACTGCCACTCTGTTAAATTTAAGTTATTTCTGGACGTCTGTCTCTGAAGCTCTGACCTCACTGAGAGTCATTTTCCTCTCTAAACACCTAAGTGGTTGGTGAAGTTGCCATACGCAAGGAAAAACTTTGCAACAGAGATGAGTGACCTAATCTTCCAAACATCTCTCCTTTTTCTCAAGTATATTTAAGATTTCTGTGTAACAGAGTGGAAAACAGAAGAGCTGCTGACACTTTAGACAAATCAAATATCAAAATAAAAAACTGCCTCCAAAACAGCAGCAATGAGGCAGCTGATATGATGATATTATGTATACAGATAAATATATTTCTTCATCTTCAGGCCTCCCAGAAAGAAGGAACAGAAAGAGGAGTGGGCATTGTGTCATACTATATATAGTATTGTGAAGTGACACTAAACTTAAAACAGCTGCTACGCTGTAAAGCAGAAACATGCTTCTTAAATAAAATACTGTAGGCATACTGTAGATGGAAGGCAACTCAGACAGTGTAATTACATTTATTTTTAGAAGTTTAAAATCTGTGTTTCGGCTGCAGAAACAAGATGTCTGAGAGCAGGTGGCCAGTCGAAATTAAAATGGCTCCGTAGCCCAGTTCAGCCCTGCAGCAACAAGATGACTCATGAATATGACTCATCTGACTGGAGCTGTATACTTTATGTCTGAACAGCTTCTTTTTGTCGCCAGAACGGATCACCCTGCAGGTTTAGTCACACTAAGAAGTCGCTGATCAACATCAACTGAGTGAGTGACCTCAGCCAAAAATGGCCGGTCGTCTCCACTGTGAGTCTTCAAGATAAGAATTTAGACTTCCGCAAGTGGTAAACACTTAGTTTGGGACGCCTCAAATCCAAACACTTACTTTAGCACTTAAAGTATTTTGCTGATGCTCTCATCCAGAGGGCTTTAAAAGGAATACAGGAAATTCTCACATCTCAAACTCCAAGTATCTACAGTAGTTCACAACAGCCTGAAACGGATGCGGCAAAATCTTTCTGCACATAGAATTAAACCTTTTTTCTTATACCAACAGAAATGTGACCATGGCACAGAGTATAGACGACTGAAAGTTAATCAGATCCTCGGTTCCTGATTCACTTAAAAATGCAGCCAATTTTAGATCGTACTTTATTAAGTTTTTGTACAGCTGACATTTAACATTTATGAAGTTTGGCTCCTTTAGTTCCAGTTAAGTATTGTTTTGGTATCGATACTGAATCTCCCGTGTTGGCACCAGTATTAGAAACAATTTCAACTCACACCCAGCCCTCCCAAAGATAATAGTGAAAGAAATGAATGTGAATTACCGGGAGAAACATTAGAAGAAAAGCAGGAAAGATTAATAACTTTAAGGACTGAATAACTTTTTTATATTTGAACCGTTCCATTTCTTTATAAACACAAAATGAATCAAATTAAGAAGGTATGAAGGTTTTCACTTTGCTTCTGCTTGTATTAACTTATGCTAAGGCAATGAATGTTTTATTTATATAACATACAGGCAAGTGCTTCACGTGATGCATTAAAACATTAAATAAGATACTGCTATAAAATATACATTTAAGGGATAAAAATATTAGTTTGCGCTGAAAGTGTAAGGTGGAGAGTGGTGCTCAAAGCCAGGGAAAGACATTTACTATTCGAAATATAATTTCACTGATTTGTTTTTACAGACCATTTTACAAGTAAAATGAATTGATTTTAGTTTGTTTATTTATTTTTTTAGGGACAATGCAAAGCATAAAACTGAACTGCTAATTTTAAACTCTTGTCCCTAGTTGAGAATCTATTCCTACAGTTCTGTTTATGCTGCCGGTAAAAGTGAAAGCAGGAGAGTGCACGTGCAACTTCACTAAGATTCACTCATGTGTTTTAATTATCACCACAAATCATGGTGTTTAACTTTGCTCCTGTGCTCGTCAACGACTCCCAGGTGGAAGAAAGAAGTGTCTCTCTCTCTCTCTCTCTCTCTCTCTCTCTCTCTGCTCTGGAAGCTGTGATGAAAGCTAAAATATTGGCATCAAGGTTTCACCGTCAAATACAGGAATCTCTCTCTGCATTCCTCACCAGTTAGTTTCTTTTGGGTCAGAAACATCCCTCCGACAACAGGGGGGCCGGCTGGATTGCACAAAGCCTTCGGCATCATTGAATAGTTGACCATATATGGTTGTAAACGGCAGTAATGGCTGAAGGTGGACATGAGTATTGTTTGACACTGAAGACGGGGGAAAAAGGTTGAAGTGAAAGAGACAAGAGCTCCAGAGTCTGCAGCCAAAAGGGCTGGAGAAAGGCTGACATACTTTATGGCACTTAACGGAGGCAGCTGGAGGTTTTCTGTGGAAGAGACGAGCTGCTGAAGTCATTCTAAAGGCAAGAAGAAAACAATTCGGTGTGGATCACAAATAATTTGAACTCAGGGCTTGTATTGACTTTAAAATATAGTTTTCTCCCAAACCAGTGCTGCATGTTAGTGCAATCGTATTCGGTTCATCAAAAATCAAATCATGTCATGCTAGAATTTCCCCCATCTTGAGTTTTTTATGTTTTTACTGCTCAGTGTTTCCCACAGGTTTAGAATTTACTTGTGGTGGTGGGTGGTACAGCGTGTGACCAATCAGTTTGCATGCGCACGCTAGCAAGGCGGCTGCACACAGAAGTGCACACGACTCAGACAGGTGTGTGGGCAAATAGTTTAGTTTGAAAAGAGTGAAACAAGGCGTTCCCATGTATGTTCCTATCTATGGGAAAGGCTGCTGTTATATCCGCACAGAAAATGGGACAGGAAAATAAAAATGGCTTCCTATCCTATACGCTGCATTGATTATTCAGTCTTCTGACTTTTGTTGCTGCCGGTTTTAGACGCTTCCAGATGTCATTGCTTTTACTTGTCTACCGGAGTTACCGAGAGGAATTATTTCCCATACTCAGCATCACTTTTATCAGAGTCTGGGTGGGTCCCTTCAGGAAATCCAAATCTGATTTTGGTCTCTAGTGCACAGCATCACAGCGCGTTGTTCCACTTCGTCCAAGAGCAACTAACGCTTGAATTTTTGAATTTAATTTACAGTATTTTTTTTCCCCCAGTTACGTGGTACGTCTTGCCCTAAGGAAACTCGACATTTCCTCTCAGAGGTTAAGTAGTTAAAAGTGTGAAATCGCTTCACTAATCATGCGATCTGTTTACAGATGACCCTGGGTCACGAGTTTGGCGCTGGAGCAGCCTGCTTGAAGTGCAAGGACAAGTGTGAAGGCTTCGAACTGCATTTCTGGAGGTTTGTGCAGTTTCTCTCTCTACAGCACAGCACCGTCACAGAAACAGGGTTAACAGTGGATATCGGGGGGGGGGGGCATATGGGTAATTTCAAGATTAAATCAGCAGTAATTCAAAGGAGTCTCTTCACTTGGGCACTTTCCAGGTATTTCAGTAAAGAATTATGAACCTGGACAGTCATGAACAAAAACATGCTTGTTCCGCACATTGTTCAAAGGCAAAGAAAAAAGAAAAGCACGCAGACTGGTCAATAACATCACTTTCCTCTTTGCTTAATTGAAAATACTCTATCAGCGTAATAGGACCATGCTGTTCCTGAGAGCTGCTGCGCTTCATGTTTGTCTTTGAACACACAGCTCCACGTCCCGTTGGCTTATTGTTAACAAAATATCAGAACAATGTGAGTCTGCAGTAGAGGTGACTTTAGGTCTGATTAGTGGGGGCCAGAGCCTTCAGGGGGTTGGGGGGGGGTTTCTGGTCCTAATTCAGCTAAATAACTATAATTGGAGGCTGAGAACAACATGGATGCTGGTGGAGACACTGTTTTGTTTTGTTTTTTCAATGTGGGGCAGTGTACATTCAGTCCAGACCACCCAGGGTTCCCTGTCTTACTTACCCCATCTGTCACAATATGTGCATTTATTTGGACCAGTAATTGGACTGTTCCGTCTGGACAATTACCCACACATGGCTGGTTTTCCTGAAGACAGCGCCAGGTGCCCTGATGCCCACCACAGGACCAGCACAAAGGCCCACCACGAATCTGTGGTGGCAGTCTGAGCTTTGAAATGTCTGATGTCCAGCTACGAGTGTTGGATTATTACAGACACTGTGTTGGATCTGTAAGGATCTACATTATTTGACTTTATACAGCACGTACATCTAGGGCGTTGTCATCAGGCTGCACACACCTAAAGGTTTAAGGCGTCCTAAACTCCAGATACAATATCACCAGAAAGAAAGGGAAGGGTTTAATGTGAATGTAAATGTAAGGCACTTTATTCAGCCAGGCGTTTCCTCAGTCATGCATCATTTCAAAGTGAGCATATCACACAGTTTACAAGACGTTTCTGGAATATAAATGCTGTCGTCATTGCTGTTTGCTCTCACCTATACAAGTCAAACTGTGTTTACAGAGCTTGACACAGCTGAGAGTGTTATTCCCCATCATGCTTGCAGTCTGTGGGCCTGGTCGTGCTGAAGCACGCCAGACAGCCGTAAATTATGTCATCGTTATTCTGCGAATATGAAGCAAGTTGTGTTGAGGCATGTGAGAAGAGAAGAGAAGATATTTTAACACTGAGCTCATTGTGTTGATTTACTATTTTAGCAAATTGTATAATTGTTGTAGAAAGAGAAATTCCGATACAAAAACATGTTTTTGAAATTAAAATGCAATGAAGAGCAGAAGGGATTAGAGATTCCAGACTTTTCCAAAGCAGCGTGTATCTGAAACATGAAGAATACACAATTAGGAAGATAAAAACACTGTTCCACACTAAATTGAGCTTTAACTTAAAAACATAAAGGTTAATATTAGAAATCTTTTTCCTGTCTTTCTCCTCTGCAGAAAAATCTGCCGAAACTGCAAATGTGGCCTCGCGGAGCACGACGTGTCGATGAACTCGGAGGAGAACAAGAAGGTAGGCAAGCTGTTCGAGGACACCAAATACACCGGCCTCATCGCCAAGCTGAAGACCGACGGCATACCCAGCTACAAGGGCAACATGATGACCGTCACTCTGCCCGCCTCCGCCACTGCTTACATCGTCCCGCCGAGCGCCACTTCCACTGTTGTGCCCCCCTCTGCCAGAGCTGGTTCTGTACAGCCTGCTGGAGCTTCTACCGGACCCAGTTCTGTACCGCCTGCTGGAGCTTCTAACAGGCCCGGTTCTGTACCGCCTGCTAGAGCTGCTACCGGACCCGGTTCTGTACCGCCTGCTGGAGCCTCTGCAGGTACAGCACCCAGCGGAGCTCAAGCCCAGGCCCTGGCTCAGCCCGTACCAGCAGGTGCTGCACCAATGAAGGCTAACAAAGTGCCGGCGCCACTCAGCGCCACATCAGCCAGCGTGATGCCAGTTCCCAAAGATGTGCCAATGAAGTCTGTCACCTATGAGTGGGCACCTCCAGTAGCCAATAAGTATCTGGTAAGGGTTAAAAAAAAGTCATTTATCAAGCAAAAATGAATAACACACACTTTTTAAAGCTTCTCAAATGTGGAGATTTGCTGCTTCTGAACGTTTTCTATCACTGTAAATTGATTATCTAGGAGTCTTTCACTGCAGCTGCTCAGACAAACAGGAAATTGAAAGTAATCCCCTCAGGCTCTGAGAACCTGTGTTTGGCTAAATCATTAATTAATTGACAAAACAAAAAAAAATAATTGACCGATTTAATGGACAATAAAAATCATCAGTAGCTGCTGCGGCCCTAGTTCGACCACTAGGATGGATTAGTATGGATTGTATTATTTCCTGTATATGAGACGACAGCCAAAGATTTTTCTTTTCGAGAGGATGCTGTTTTTATTCACCCAAAAAAAAAATTCCTTTGACCTCTGCCTTTATCCTGAACGGTTTTTATGACAGCTCTCTGCTAACTAGTTTGATTCAGAAAATGAATTGCAAAGAGGCATTTAGCTGCTGCTGCTTTTTTTTGATCTGAAGTTTTCAAGGACTGTTTTCCCTGATCAGCACCGTGATAAAGTTTTAGGACATTTTTAAAGAGGTTTGGGGTTGGTCATGAAAGCCTTTGGCCACTAGAGGTCCCAATAATATTCATTTTAGTCCTTGTACCTAACTTAAAGTTATTGAAATCACTCAGCAGGACACTCATCGTCTTTTTGGAATCAACTCACCCAGTCAGTCCTGTATCTGTCTTTGTTGAGTCTAGTCCTGTATCTGCAGGTCCAATGTTTTGCATGTCTTCTCACCACAACACAGGACAGTTTCCCCTTACGTTGTTTGTGATTGGTCTTTAACGTCTCTCTCTGCATTCTTCTCATCTCTGTCCTTCACACAGTTTTCTGAGTTTTTTTCTTTTCTTTTCCCTCTGACTTGCAGGCGGTGCGTTACATCGAGCTCCTCCCACCAGAGAAACGTCCGGTGGCCGGTACAGAGGGAGCGGCTTACCGTCGGCAGCAGATGGCCCGCCAGCTGCCTGAGCACGACCAAGACCCGTCCATGTGCCATGAACTGACTCCTGCCGAGGTCAAGCAGATGCAGCAATTTGTCCGCAAATACAAGGATGAGGCCCTGGGGGTCGGAGACGTTATGCTGCCTGAAGAGATGGCTGCGGTTCAGGCAGGAGGGCAGGGTGGAGCCGGTGGTGTTGGTGCTGGAGGTGCGCCTGGTGCTGGAGGAGCAGGGTTTGGCCCTGGTGCACCTGGAGCTGGGGTTGGTGCTGGGGGTGGTGTTGGAGGGGCTGGATTTAGACCGGGAGTTGGGGTTACTGGAGCTGGAGCTGGAGCTGGAGGTGGCTTTGGGCCAGGGGCTGCAGGCACCGGTATCGGGCCTATGGGTGGGCCTGGAGTAGGTGCCGGCTTTGGACCTGGAGCAGGGGGTAGCGGAGCTGGAGCTGGAGATGCTGGATCACATTCAGGGCCGGGGACTGGGCCAGCTGCTGGCTTTGGGCCAGCTGGAGGAGCCATGGGCACTGCTGCCACTGCCGGAGCCATGGGCGTCCCTGGAGCTCAGCAAGCTGGACTACCACAACAGAACTTTGTAAGATATTTTTATTCATCTATTGTCTGTTTATTCGTCTGTCACCCAGTCAGTTCCTGTCACTCTCTGAAACATCTACACACTGGCATCCAGGCCCGGGTGAACTGGATGAAATATTAATCTTCTGTCTCTTAAGATTAAAATTTATATTTTCTGATATTGATATGTCACAATATGGCACATAATGCAAAAAATAATCATTTTCAAAGTAATAAACTTAACTACTGCTTACTCAGAATGATTAATTTGGAAAAAATAAATGTACAGTAAAGACCTGTTGGTGCTGCACCGGACACTAGATGGAGCCATAAGACCAACTCTGACTCAGCCTTCTCCATTCAGGATGGTGGATAGTGATTTACTTATGATTCACAACTGAAGTTTTTTTTTTTTTTAAATATTATTACCATGTGTGGTTATTTGATTCTTGTTGTTAGGAGTCTAATGATTTATTCCTGTTCTAGTTCTACTGTGACTCATTAAGAAAAGGTTTTGATATTGAAACAAGAAGCAGCAGAGCTTATGCAAGAGCAGCTGTTTCATGTATTTTTTTCATGTTCTGATGTTGTATTTCCCTCCAGTATCCATGACTTCACAATGTCAGTTCAATTCAATTAAATGTTATTCCTGTGGCGCCAAATTATAACATACATCATCTCAAGGCTCTTTACGGAGAAAGGTAGAGAAAGAAAACCTCCAACAGATCCAGACTCGGGGCGGGTGGGCGGTTGAAAAGGAGAGAAGTTGTGGAGAAAGGGGAAGAGAGAGGAGGAAGAAGGGGAGAGAGAAAAGAGATGGACCACACTCTTCTATCCTGGCAGCAGCAGCGACTTAACAACTTTGTGTTCGCTTATCCCTGCCTTCACACTCAGCCTGCAGCAGCTTCCATGTCATCATAATTAAAAACACCAGGGTCAGGTTACAGTGGCTGTGCCATCTGTGTTATAAAGGGGAATTCTGCCCGTGTTAATCACTAGAATGTGTCATTCTCTGTGATTGAGGGAGAGCTGAGATCTAAGGTGAACAGTTCAAATGCTCCCTTTATAAAATGGCCTTTTTGTCCAATCAAAGGACGCCCTGCTTGACTTTGAAATGGACTCAAAAACAGGGATATTGCCCTTTGTGTAAACCTACTGAAAAGTGCATAATAATTCTTTGTTATTACTGAAGGGGATGAAAGGAATCTGTTTGGGACAGGATGCAACTGACTTTTCTAACACAAGTCAGTTGAGCTGAGACTGAGGCAGCTTTACACATACACGTCCGTATCCCGGTAGTGCTCATAATCACCTCCGGCAACTTACAATGAGCACGTTGTGACGTTTTATAGTCTAAATGATCAATTGAAAAATCCTCAGATTATTAGAAACTGAAATCATCCTCCCAACTATACACCAACAAGGAGAAAAACTGAACTGGAAAAATCTCTTCTTTTCTTTTCCCTTCTCCAAGACGTGCCATCACTGCCAGCAGCCGATGCGTCTGGGCGAGCCGGCCGTCTACGCCGAGCGCGCCGGCTACGATAAGCTGTGGCACCCAGCATGCTTTGTCTGCTGTACCTGCAGCGAACTACTGGTGGACATGATCTACTTCTGGAAGAAAGGCAAGCTGTACTGTGGACGCCACTACGGAGACAGTGAGAAGCCGCGCTGTGGAGGATGTGATGAGGTGAGAGGAGGTTATTTATGCATGCATCACTTTCTCTGCAGTTTTGAGGTTCGACTTGATCAACTTGATGCATGTCTGTCCACAGCTGATCTTCAGCAATGAGTACACTCAGGCTGAGGGACAGAACTGGCATCTGAAGCACTTCTGCTGTTTCGAGTGTGACTGCATCCTTGCCGGAGAGACGTACGTCATGGAGAATGAAAAGCCTGTGTGCAAGCCCTGCTACATGAAGAGCTACGCTGTGGTGAGACAGACCATCTTTCTCTGGGTTTTTGTTTGTTTGAATAGTTGAAATTGTTGTTTGTTTGTTTGCTGCTATCTAAACCACAACAAAGATCACCGAGTGCATGCATTCTTAGCTTGAGTGGCACTAACGAGGGTTAAAACCCTGAGCCAGGAATCCTCAACTCCTCATCGGACCTACAAGATATAAAACATAACGTAACATAAAATATTTTCTGTAAAAACCTAATAATAAATGTCACTCTTTAACTCTCAGTCATAATTTTTGAATTGATTTATAAAATTAAATGATAAAATTCAAAATAATCTTAAAAAGAATATATTTAAAGTGTCACTTTATTGTCGCAGTTTATTGTAAAAACTGTCTCATGCAGGTTGAGCAACAGACTCCCTGGTACAAGAGAAGGACTGTAAATGAACACAGGCCACCCAAAACCAAGAATGTGAAGCACTCGGCGTGTGTTTACATGATTTACCCGACGTAATCCCCTGCAAAGCCACTGTTTTTATGCAGCGTCATACTTGCCTTCATTCTGACTGTGTCATTGTAAACGTTAAGAACCAGGGATTCCACTGTGCAGCCAAGCATCACAACTGAATATAGTTTTTTTTTAAGTTCCCACACTTTACACTTTTCCTGTGTTTTATTTGAATCTATAAGAAGATATATTTGTGGTTTTAAGAACCAAAAAACCCTGGTTCAGTTTAGTTTGGACTGAGCGCTTTGATAATTAATGTAGAACCTAGATCTGCTTTATAATAAAAAAAAAAAGACATGTAAATCTCACTTTATACAATATGGGACCTTTTTACATGTTTGTTATTGATGATTAGAAATGAGAAAATAGCTCCACTTTTTCTTTTTAGGCTTTCTTTTGGCTGTAAAGTAAAATTGCACTCAAAATACATAACACCTTTCAACAGTTGTGACCAATATTAGTTACATTTCTAAGCATAGACACTGCAGTGTTTTTCTGTGTATATTTGTTATGTATGCCTGCTTGTCTCATGTTTACACATTAGATTAGATTAGATGATTAGATTAGATTAGATTCAACTTTATTGTCATTGCACAGAGTACACGTACTAAGACAACGAAATGCAGTTAGTATCTAACCAGAAGTGCAAAAGAGCAGTTAAAGTGCAAGTGTGTGCTGTACAGGTATGTAAAGTGAGGGTGTGCATAAGTAAAGTGGAGATGTGCATATGTAGGGTACAATAAATTACACTGTGAATTACAATGAATTACAATGATGAGGTAGCGAATTACAATGATGAGGTAGCGGGAATAAATACAGTGAGTGCTAGACAATGAGTAGAGACGGTTCAGAACAGTTCAGTGCAAGGTTAGGTGGCTGAGGGGGTTGGTGTGGCAGTCACAGTCTCTGGGTTGTGTGTGTGGGGGGGGGGACACCGGGGTTGTGAGTTCAGCAGGGTGACCGCTGCAGGGAAGGGAACATAAAGGTTGATTGAATTTGTTTTAGTAAAAAGTACTGAGAAAAGGAAGAAAATAGATGATCTGATATGTGACTCGACATCATTATCTCCTCCTCCATCCCAGAAATGCGCCGCCTGCCAGAATGCGGTGGAGCCCGAGGCGCAGAGGGTTTCCTACGGCGAGCACCACTGGCACGCTGAGCCGGAGTGCTTCAAGTGCTCCGGCTGCTCCAAGTGCCTGATGGGCCAGCGCTTCATGGCCGTGCAGGGCTTCCTCTTCTGCTCCGTGGAGTGCAAGAAGAAAACCATGGCTTAGAGCTGCCAAAGCAACTCTCTCCATCTGCTCCACAACCACTTGTGAAACCAGGACAGGTTCAGCTGAAACTAGAAACCAGAGCAGGGAAAACAAACACTTGCACAGCTGCGGAGACAGACTTCGGTTGTGTGGTTGTGTTAACGTGAAATAGAGTGCCTGATACCTCTAATATAGAGATATACAATAATAATGAGTCCATTTGCACTTGGGTGCTCTTTCCTTTCTGTCCATGAAAGACCACAGTATTGATAAATCTGTCTCAACTTCTTCTGTCCAGTTTGTCCTCTGCCTTAAAACCGTCGTCTTCCTTCAACCAGTAGATTTTTTTTGTTTTTGTTTTTTTTTCTATGCTTCTCTTGCACTGTTTTTTCATATTGATGAGATTAATTTTGTATTGATCAGACCAATTTATTAATGTTAAACCTGTGTCTGTTTAATGGTATGAGCGCTGAACCTATTGTTGATTTAATGTGCCACCTTTTTACTGCTTCTACTACTGATGCTCACCCTCCTCTATGCAGCAGTATGACGAGCAATATTAGCCAGGTTTGGAGTTGATTTGCTTCCAGTGCACTGTATTCCAGATCGAAGTGAAATTATCATATAAATTATAATAATAAACGACCTACGACTTCTCAATCCAGTCATTATGTGTTTCAACAGCTTTGACTGAAGAAATTCAGTTCCTGAATTGAAGTGAAATTACTGGAAGTAAATAGCCCCAAATCTGACAGCAGTATTATTGGCGGATTAATAGTATTTTCATATTATCTTAAGGGAACAAAACAATGTGAAAACCTTCAGTAAACACCACCAATTAGCAATTATTATTATTTATTCTTTATTTGGATCCACAGCTTTCACAAGGTGATCTCTAGTCTTATTAAATAAATGACCAATGGTTACATGCAAAATAAATCTGCAACTACTTAGGATTTACCCGAAGAGTTTTTATTAAAGTCTGCTTGTATCACCGTCTGGCCCCATGACAGCTGTAAACACTGTAAAGCTGTCACATAGGATGACTTGATGAATTGAGGAAAAACCACTGTAAATTGTTAAACATAAAACTTTTTACTTTTGTAATTTTTGTGCCAAGTACTTTCTTTTTCATGCAATAAACTGCACTTTAAATTGTTTGTTTTTCCCCCCAGTAATTTGGGTAATAACTTAAAATTCCTGAAATATGGAGCAGGTTGAGTTTTTCACTTGACGACTAACTACTACAACTACCCTTCACAGCTGTTGTTCTCCCACACAGCTGTTTTCACTTGCGTGATTAGGTCTCTTCTCAGGGCAGTGTGTGGAAAGGACGGGGCCCTGAGGCTTGATGAAGCTCCCTTTAGCTGCTGAAGTGATGTGGCAGCACGTCTGATCACCGGGACAATAGCACACGCTCACTTCAGTGGGACGCAGCAATCGTTAATGTTGTTGATTACACCTGTGCTGCGACAAAAGGGTCTCCCATTTCATTTAGTGTGTCGACCTCATATGGTCTAATCAGTGTAAGTGAAGACACCTGTGTGGATGTGCAGGGCAGCTACTTAAGATGTGAAGCGTGCCACAATACTACACACACACACACGTCCTGTGTACTAGTTGCTGTAGTACACAGACTTGGACCAATGTGCATTACTGTTTCGTAATGTATGCATCTCTAATGCCACGGCTAATTAAACATCACATGGAGAAAGCAAAATGTTTTACCATGTGCTCTTTGGTTTTGCTGCTGTTCATTACCATCCACAAAGCAGACACCTCCCTGTAGATTATGTTCTGCGAGTGCGGCACTTTTCATTATCAGCACAGGTCACTTTGACCCCCGCAGGACCCATGTTGACCCATGTGACCCACGCCCTGACGTATCAGCTGTTACTCTCCGATGGGAACCCTCTAACAGGCCGGCCATGATGGAAAAACCACCTCTGAAGGGGCTGGTGTTTTCATTCACTAACTGGAAACTGTGCACAATTCAAGGAAGCTCCATCTCTGAGGAGCCCCATTGTTTTAAATGGCAGTCGGCCCAACGCTGTGCTGCTGTTTCCCCTCTTTCGACCACAACTCTACCAGACCTGGTGTGACCGAATCGCTTGGCCACGTCCAGGATCAGCCAGTTGTAACCCGTCTCCAACATCCTCCTGGATCCTTACTCTAATTTTCTCGCTTCAGAAATTCCTTTCTTTTCCCGTTCCTCCGTCACAGGAAGTCAGGACATTTTTGGCTTCTGTGTCATTCGAAGAATGAAAGCTTTTGTTTTCTAAAGATATAAATGCGAGTGTTCCCCCGTTGTCTTACCTAAGAATGGAGCTCACAGGTGGGGTCGTCTTCCTGTAATATTGTGTGCCTGTTGGAATTTGCATGTGATTTGTTTTCGTGCTTGAATTTGAATTGTGCTGCAGTTTAACACAGGAATTTGCATCGTTAATTAATTACTCACTGGAATTTGCATCGTTAACTTGAATCCCGCCTCGACTCCATCGCACAAAGGTACCACCTTTGGAAGTGGAACTTGTTTTACTCTCCAGGTGTTTGCTCGTGTAGAGATGAAGCTGTGACGCTCAAGTGTTGAGTTGCTTGTGCTTTACTTCACCAACACCAATGATGATAAACATTTCTGGTTTTCCCGAGGGAGCTGGATGATGCCACATTCTGCAGCAGAACAAACTTAGAAAGTAGCCCCTTCAAGAGTCACTGCGTTGATTGTGTTAGACGGGGGTAACTCCACAGAAAATGCATGAGTTGATGGCAAAAACAAATGGCAACAATGATTATCTTTCCCGATTTTGATTGATTTTCGTCTGTTAGCGACACATTTCAGGAACACTTGGAAAGCAAGACCAAAGAAGTAATGAGTCGGATTTGTTTGCCGGGAGCGAGTCTCTCCGAGCTGAGTATGTTGAAGACCTGATCTTCATAAATCAAGCTCTAAGTTTGGACTTTGATAATCCCTGTCATGAATCACAGTCATGAATGCTTAAATGTAATACAGCAGCATCTACGCACGCTTCATCCACCATCTAAGCAGTGAGTCAGAGAGATGAAATCAGGATCAGATTTTGTGAGTTATTTGGAATTTAAATTTTCTGTTTCAACAGCCTTGAGCTATTACAGTTTGGAGACGCCACACAGACTGTTCACAACTGAGCACAAGTCTGTTTCACGGTTCTATGATTGAATTACAACACTACTGTTCGTCACTGGGCACAAACAGACTCCTTCAAAGATCTCAAGTTTTATTTAAACGCATTATTACTGTAAATGGAGGAAGGCTGCGGGGTGAGGATTACTTGGACTCATATCTGAGGCTTATCACAGTCGTCTACTGTTGGCCTCAGACTGCAGATAGATGGTGGTTGACGAAACAAATTCACTCTGTTTTGTTCTCCAGATTTTCCCGAACAGATTAAAGACTGAGAAAACAGATGAAAAACTTGTGATCCTATGGATTTCTTGATTTAGAAACCTTTTGGACAACCAACCTTAAACTCATAGCTCCACTGCCTTGTGGACTACCCATGGTATTAACCAGGCAAGCACAAGCCAAGTCTTTTCTCTTGTAATACCAAAATATGGTTAACACTTTCTAGCTTTTCTAGTGTGGTATCTTCTTTGTCTCATGGTGCATCAAACCATAAATTACTGCCTCCTGAGTCTGGAGGGAAACACCCGGGACCGTCTCCCTGCGAAGTAGATGAGTTATTCCCAAACGAGGTTAGCTGCGTTCTTTAGTGAATTAGTTGAGTGCAAAATCAAACCCAGTCATTATCATACTTAAGTTAAGAATATGCTTCAGCTACTTGACGAAACAAACAGTACAGAGACAAAGAGTCAGAGCACCCTGATAACATTCCCGTAATGCTAGAAATATAATGTAAGAGAGCAGTTCAGGCATGCAAAGCAGAACGTGGAAAGGCTTGTTATTTAATCACTGTGATAACAGCAGAGCAGAGAAGTTTAGGAAGATGAGAGACTGATACATAGTGAAGCAGCAGCTGTAAATATTCATTATCTCAAAGGAAACAAGTTGCCTCTGAGATTAAAAACAAAATGTCAACAGTTTTTCAGATTCCACAAATGGCAGGTTAAGGTGAGGGCGTCGTACACTCTGGGCCCCCGTCATCCCAGGTTAAACACAGATGTACCGCACAGTGGAATCTTAGAAGTCTCCCTGACTGAAGACACAGCAGAAACACCAGCCACTCACTGAAGGCATCCCGACACAGCTGGTACAAATGCCAGCTCTCCGAGGCTCCCGATAACTCACCACCCACATTCCTCCTGGGGAGGGAGGAGACAGTGAGCTGAGCGGGAGTGATTCATTTTTATGGAATGCTATCATAGAGGAGGGTATTACAGGCTGTGATCCGGCCAACAGGACCAATCATGTTCAGTGATACAGTCGGACAATCTGTGTGCCCCTCAGTAAAACTATTGTACTTTTTCCGGTGCTGTAGAGAATGATCTCCAGGCTCCATTGGAGATTAAAGGGTTAATGCAGGTTTTAAATAGTACTTTGCCAATTTGGCATTGCAATCCTGCAACTCTGTTGATATCGGTGCAGCAGAATCAGAGATATCATATTTTTTTTTATCCCACACGTTATGGAACTTGTGCATACATTACCCACAATACAACTCCATAGTTTTCATATGTTTACTATTTTATTATTAATAATATGTCGGTATGGTGTGACCAAGCTACAACCTCCAGGGCTGAAAAATGAAGGCAAGACAGAAGTGACAAAACCTGCAGTTCCTCAAACAGCCACTCGAGGCCGGCTCCAAAAGCAACTCGCATGTTAAAACCGTAGACTGTACATAAAGGTGGACATAACCTTGGTGACGACGCCCACAGGTTTCTGAAGAGCGGTTTTGTAGCTTAGAATAAGCTGTGCTTCCGTCGCCATCTTGGCTTTAGCATACACTCACCCACCTGTCACTCAAAGCGGCCACGCCCCCCACTAATTCATTAATGCATACACCAAAAGTGTTTTGTTTGTTTTTTTTGTACAAGGCTATAAATATGTTTTTTTCTGCTGTAAAGTTGGACATTTTAGTCTGTGGAGATTGACTCATTGTTAGAGCCAGCCTCAAGTGGCCGTTGAAGGAACTGCATGGATACACATCACCAGAGGAACACTGATGCTGTTCTGGAGGCTCGTGTTGGCCCAACACATGACTAAATAACTACCAATCAGGTAAACCTTCCTCTCCCCCCTGAAGCTACTTTATTCACATCAGTTATGACTTTGAAGCAGGACGTAAATTTTGCAGCACAGTATTGTTCGACTGCCAGATCTGGTTTTCGGGAGCTGCTACATGATAATTACTGTAATGCTGCATTTGCTCGTCCCCCCGCAGGGTTTCAGAGAGGAGTCACCTGAGGTAACTGAAGACGGTTGAGTCTGTTGGTGCATTTGATAGTTTTATTTTAACTTTTCTCCAGTTCCTCCAAGTCCTTCTTGGTAAAGTATTTTTTTCTCTCCTTCTCCAGTATCTCGTCAGCTCTCGTCATCTCTTCACTCCTCCTTACATCTCATCCTTTACCACTGTCTTCTTTCGATCGTTATGTTCTCCTTCCTGATCATACAAACTCCACCTCTGCTTTAGCCTCTTCATCATCTCTCTCTTCATCCTCCTCCTTATTCCCTCTGTGCTGAGGTTTATCCCCTGTATTTACAACCGTCGGTCCTCCTCCATGTTAGAGATTCTGTCTCTAATCCTTTATTTGCTCTCTTCTCTCCCTGTTCTCTCCTCTGAGATCCTTCATCATCCTCCCCTCCTGCACCTTTTTTGTCATCCTTTATCTGCTTCAGCATTTTTTACAGAACACTGTGATCCTCACGGTGTTTCACTTTGTTGTTTTCCACCTCTCAGCACCACTCCCTCCTTTCTGAAATGTTCTACTCTCTCTCTCGCTCTGTCCGTCAATACTTAAAGGGTCAGACAGATGGACAGATGGATTGAGGTGCCAGATACCTGATGATGCGTGGATCGTATGGCACCCAGATTTTTCCTTTCCTCCTCAAGCTGAAATCATCCTGAGTAGAACCTGCCAGCACGTAGAGATCCCAGTTTTAACATTAGGATCTGTCTCATCGCGCCTGTTCATCAGGCTGGAAAAATTCTGATTCTATACA